TAAAAGTGGCTGATCGTGTTGGCTCCTGATTGGTTCATTTAAAAGTGGCTCCAAGCCTCGGGATCTTCGCGCCGGCGCCAATTGTGGTCAGCGTCATTTCGGGGAAAGGGCGGCATCGTTTCGGGAAAACCGAAACTTAGGCCTACTCCAGGAAGTTCAGCCTGTCATGGAGTCACTCCTGCTCTTATTCCTGTTCCTGATGAACTACATTTAACAAACAACTAAAAGCAAGCACGGTCACAGAAGCAAATAGCATCAGTTAGAATCAGAGAGAGCACATTTTTCTCTAATCTCTAATCTTAAACAATTCGTCTCACACAAAGCAAAGTATATTCTCCTACTATCAATTCCTGTTTTTCACTTGGCCTCCCAGAGTGCTAGGATTGTTTAAGTATGAGCCACCGTGCCTAACGTGTCCCTTTTTCTTAATTGACTTATTTTTGAAATACATTTTTAGATTATTTTGTGAAACTAATTATCTAATAGTTTAGAAACCTCAGTGACTATGCTGATAATTACAGAGGCTCGATATATCTTAGAGAATGATTCCATTAACCAAAAAACAAGAATATGGTAGCCACAGCAGATCTAGGGAGTGAGGAAAAGAGCTCTTAATTTGAGGTATCTATATGCTATACAGATAGTTGGCCAGTAAGGAGTTGTGTTTAGAGGTCAGGAAATTTGTGCTAGAGATATAGATTCAAGAGTCAAAGATTCATCAGTGTGAAAATGGTAGGTGATACTATGAATGTGGATGACTTCACCTGGGAGAGAACATGGAAGGATTGAGAAACAAGGATAAACCTTTGGGGGAACCCTTCTTTTGTTAGATGATGACCTTCTTTAGGACAGGGATCATGTCTTTCTCAATTTAATAAACCTTTTTTGACTCCTTTGTGCACTGTGCGAGGTGCACAGAGAATAAGATGTGGTCTTTGTGCTTAGCAAGATCTCAAGCTTTCAAGATGAATAGAGAGATTTTTAGTAAATAGTGCAGAGGAAAAGTGCTGTAGGGGAGGAAGAGAACTGCTCTTGAATCTTACAGCTTCAATAACTTTCCTATTATTACACACAATATGATTAAGTAGTTAGGCTTTTTGCTCTTCTGTTAAAGCAGTATAATCAATTTCTGGAATGTTTTGTACTGCTGTGTTTAAAGATGAAACCATCTAGTTCTTTCAACAAATTAGTTACTTTATGTATGTTATCCTTGATTATAATTTTTCTATAAACTATTTGTATTAAGTGGGATAAAAAGATGTTTGCTACTATGCTTTAAATGAAAATACCTGGAGAATTAATTATGAGTAGGAAGATTTATATAGAAAAACGATGGCTCACACCTGTAATCCCAGTGCTTTGGGAGACAGAGATGAGAGGATTGCTTGAGCCAGGAGTTTGAGACCAGCCTGGGCAACATAGCGAGACCCTGTCTCTATAGAAAAAAAAAATTAGCCAAGTATAGTGACCTGTGCCTGTAGTCCCAGCTACCTAGGAGGTTGAGGTGGGAGAATTGCTTGAGCCCAGGGGTTTGGGGTTACAGTGAGCTAGGGCTGTGCCACTGCACTCCAGCCTGAATGACAGAGCAAGACCGTCTCCACAAAAAAAATTAAAAAAAGAGAGAGAGATTGATGGGCATCTAATGTAGCCTCGTTACTGACCAATTCTAGTTCTCATTATCAGCTTATGGTAGCAGTCTGTTGGCTGCATTATATTAAAGGGCCTCAGCTGTTTTTCCTTTAGCACAGTTGTTGATGTAAATGAGAAGCATGGGCCATTGGGATTTTAGAATATCAGTTTCATGGAGAAAAAGAATAGTACGTGCTTTGAACATAAGATACAAAATCCTCTTTGTGCTTGAAGTGTCATATTTTTTACAAACTCTTTTAGGTTTATACTTGGTGGTGTTGTACTTGGTACTGCCTATTTATATAAACAGAGATGAGCTAAAGAATAGTCATATCCTTCCTTTAGAAATAATAGAGACATTTCACTAGTATTTCCACATCAACTAGCATTGCTTATAGCAGAGCCAATTTTGAATGGTATATTTACTGTATGATTAAAAGTATAATGTAAGGTTACATCTTATGTGCTAGGGACTGTGCTGAGTTTTTTGAAATGCAGTAGTTATTTTAATCCTTATGTCAGCCCTATGAAATAAACATGATTACTCAATTGGTATATAAGTTGTGGAACTGGAGGCTCAAAGAGGTTAAGTGACTTGCCCAAGTACACACAGATGGTTCATGATAAAAGTATGGTTTGAGTTTGGATTTTAATCTCACTAATGATACGTTTGTCATCATTTTGTGATTGCTATATGTAGGACACTTCTGTCTTGGTTTCTCTTGAACCACCATTGAGAAATTGTAGAGACACCTCTCCTTCAGTGCTCTAACAGCTCTCTTTTCTGATCCAAAACCAGATAGAAAAAAAAATTGAATGTTACAGCAGGGTAAATTTAACTGGACATCACGTATTTTCATTCGCCAAATCTAACAACGCTAAACAGGGAGGAATTTTAGAACAATAGACTATTTAAAGAGATGTGGTGTCAGTTCCCAAACTTTGCTGCATGTTGGAATCATCTGGGAATCTTACTGATGCCTGACTCCCAATCCTAAATGTTCAAATTTAATTGGTGTGGGATGTGTCCCAGAGATCTAGATTTTTTTTTAAGTCGGTTGCCTGTGCTGTAGTGCAGTGGTGTCATCGTAGTTTACTGTAGCCTCAAACTCCTGGGCTTTAGTGATCCTCCTGCCTCAGCCTCACGAGTAGCTGGGACTACAGACATGTGCCACCATGTCCAGCTAATTTTTTCTATATATTTTTTTAGTTGTACAGCTAATTTATTTCTATTTTTTTAGTAGAGACGGGATCTCACTCTTGCTCAGGCTGGTCTTGAACTCCTGAGCTCAAACAATCTGCCTGCCTCAGCCTCCCAGAGTGCTAGGATTACAGGTGTGAGCCACTGCGCCCAGCCAAGTCTTCCTTATTTCAACCACACTGTGACCACTGCTATGACATTTCTTTTGGATTTTAAAGACTTAGAAGCATTCTGTAAGATGAATATAAATCCACTACCCAGAAATATTTTACCCTAACCTACTGTTGCCATTTTGACTGCTCATGTAATATTTATTTGTTAGATTAAAAAAATGTTTGAAGGTAATTTCTGTTCCTTGGAAAAAATTCACACAATAAAGTGTGTTAAAATGAGGAGTGTAGGGATGGATGCCAGAATGCCAGAGTTAATGAGTGAATAGCTGGTGGCCTAACTTACTATTGAAGTCCAAATGGATAGAAATTCATAGAAATTCTGGACAAAATATATTTAAAAAAAATTAAAACAGAAACCCATGGCTAGTTCAGTAAAAGAAAAAGAAACCCCCATCTGCCAAAATCAAAAGGGAAATTAAAAGCTGGAGTAATAATTCTTAAGTAGTTTATCATGTGTTTGGACCTAGATATAAGACGTAAAGTTTGGGGTTGGTTAAAACAATTTTGGGGGCATTTTTACACAAAATACATGTGTAAAATAACATTTAAAAAATGTTATTGTGGTATAATTGACATACAATAATTTTTACATGTTTAAAGTGTGCAATTTTATAAGTTTTAACATACGTGTACATTTGTGAAACCTTTACCACAACGAAGATAATGAATGTATCCATCACTTTCAGAAGTTTCCTTGTGCCCACGTACATTCCTTCCCTCCTGCATCTCTCTTGCTCCTTCCTCCATACACAATCACTGATTAGCTTTCCGTCCCTGTAGATTAGTTTGCATTATCTAGGTTAATACATAAATAGAATCATATAGTATGTGCTGTGCTTGGCCTCTTTCATTTAGCGTAATTATTTTGAAATCCATCCATGTTATTGCATGTATAAATAATTTATTCCTTTTTAATTGCTGAGTAGTGGTATGCCATTGTATAGCTATACCAGTTTTTTATTTATCCATTGACCCGATGGTGGACATTTGGGTTGTTTCCATTTCATCATTACTAAAAATAGAGATGCTGTGGACATGTAGGTACTGTTCTTTATATGGACAGGTAATTTTCTTTCTCTTAAATAAGTACCTAGGAGTGGGATGGCAGGATTGTGTGGTAGGTATACGTTAAATTTTTAATTATCTGCCAAAGTATTGTATAACGGTGTACCATTTTACCTTCCCACCAGCAGTGTATGAGAGTTCCAGTTGCTCTCTATATTTGCCAGTACTGTTTATGGTCAGCCTTTTAAATTTTAGCCATTCTAGTAGGTGTGTAATAGAATCATATTGTGGTTTTAATTTTTCTAATGATTAATGATGTTGAGCATGTACCTATTTTCAAGTATCTATTTGCCATCCAGATAATTTCTTTGGGGAAGTGCTTGTTCAAATTTTTTGCCTTTGTTTTAATGGGGTGGTTTTTCTTATTGTTGAGTTTTGAGAGTTCTTTGTATATTCTGGATTCTAGTTCTTTGTTAGATGTGTGACTTGCAGATATTTTCTCCAAGACTGTGTCTTGTCTTTCATTTTCTTAACAGTGTCTTTTGAAGAATACAAATTTTGAAGTTCAGTTTATCAAGTTTTTCTTTTATGGTTTGTGCTTTTGATGTTATATCCAAAAAAATCTTTGCCTCACCAAGATTACAAAGGTTTTCTCCTGTTTTCTTTTAGTGTTGTTATAGTTTTAGGTTTTATATTTAGGCCTATGATGTATTTTGGGTTAATTTTTATATGATGTGAGGTATTGATTTAGGTTCGTATTTTTGCATGTGGATATCCAGTTTTTCCAATACTCTTTATTGAAAGGACTTTTTTTTTCACTGAATTGCTTTGTACTTTCATCAAAAATCAATTGATTATATAATGTATGGGCCGATTTCCGGATCTTTATCCTGTTCCATTGATCTCTTTGTCTGTCTTGATGTCAGTATCATACTATTTGACTGGTGTAGTGATGTAAGTCTGGAAAGTCAGGTAGTTTAAGATCTCCGGGCCATAGGAGGAAGATGGTAGTAGAATCGCGCGTCACCCAGGAGGAAATTAAATTAAGAAGGAGCCGGAGAAGCCCATCGACCGTGAGAAGACCTGCCCGTTGCTGCTCCGGGTCTTCACCACTAATAACGGCCGCCATCACCAAATGGACGAGTTCTCCCGTGCGAACGTACCATCCAGCGAGCTGCAGATCTACACTTGGATGGATGCAACCTTGAAAGAACTGACTAGTTTAATAAAAGAAGTCCACCCAGAAGCTAGAAAGAAGGGCACACACTTCAATTTTGCAATCATTTTTACAGATCTTAAAAGACCTGGCTATCGAGTTAAGGAGATTGGTAGCACCATGTCTGGCAGAAAGGGGACTGATGATTCCATGACCCTGCAGTCGCAGAAGTTCCAAATAGGAGATTATTTGGACATAGCGATTACCCCTCCAAATCGGGCACCACCTCCTTCAGGGTGCATGAGACCTTATTAAATTCTATTTACTATTTCCTGAATTTATTTTTTGGTCAGTTATGTAAAATAAACTTAACATGTTCTTTTTCCTCCTCTGATTATTGCCATTAAGCCTTTAAATTCTAAACAAATTATAATGCATCTATTTAGGAGTTAGATTTGGATGTACTATGGTATGAATATTAATAGAAAATCCATTTTTTTCAAGCCTTTCTGTAAACTATGAAGAAAAGTGCTCTTAGCATTCTTTGTAAAACCATATTGTTAAATACATGTGTGTACTCAGCCTGAGTGTGAAAGTTAATGGAGGCATGGAAACAGGGTTTAATCTGATGTTGGAAGAGGGTATGTTTAAGGCCAAAAGGGGCACAGCAAGAAAGCCATGGGATTATATGAAATCAAGTGTGACTTTGTCATATAGACTGTTGCATGCAATTAGAAAAAGGAGCTGTGAGAATGAGGCCATGTGGCAGCAGAGGTGTTTTGGAACAGTGGAGCTGAGCCAGATTGAAGCACCTGTTAGGAGAGATTGGCCTGCCTTGATCAGAGTACTGTGACATAAAAGGTTAGAGAAAAGAACAGGAGCCACAGTGAGGGCTTTTCATGTTTTAGAAATGGGGCCAATAGGGCATTTTGAAGGCAGGAACCAGTACAGAGGAAACAGGATTAGAACACAAGGTAAGGGTGGAAAGGTTTACCTTAAAGATCTGACAATGGAGGGAGGAATTAAAGACCAAGTGCGAAGAGCCAGGGATGAGGTCAGATTGAGTAAGTAGGAGATAGTCACACATCCTGCTGTGTGCTGGGGCTGGTGTGCATCCAATTTGAGAGGATTGCAGTGTAGTCTAGCAATTAAGACCTTGGGGCAAAACAGTTACATCCTCATTGTACCAGTAGCTCTGCAACCTTGGACAGATTACTTGGATCAAGTCTTTATTTTGTAAAATGGAGATAATAGCCCATAGGATTGTGAAGATTAAGTATTTGTAAAGGGTTTAGAGTAGCGCCTGACAGATAAGAATAAATACTGGTTAATGGCCATAAAGTGGAGTTCGGTCAAAACTGGAACCCTGTCTTTCGTGGGACTATTATACTCTCGTTTTGAAGTTTATAAACAGTATGGCAGTGTGTATGGAGCCTAATTACCTTTAGTCTGTTACAGTTGAGAATTGAAAATGTATATCCCAAAATGAAAAAAATGTACTAGCAGTAATAAAATTGCACTCGATTTAAAAAAAAAAAAAGATCTCCAACCTTGTTCTTTTACAAGGTTATTTGACTATTCTAGGTTCTTCGCATTTTCATATGAGTTTTAGAATTAACTTGTTAATTTCCGCAAAAGCAGCAACAACAACAACAAACCAAAACAAACCTGCTGGGATTTTGATTGGGATTGTATTGAATCTACAGGTCACTTAGGGGAGAACTGACAATATTGACACTTGTAATCTATGAACATGGTATATGTCTTTATTTATTTAAATCTGATTTCCCTAGTTAGGTTTTTATACTTTTTGGTGTGCAGGTCTTGTACATCTCTTACAGATTTACTTCTAAGTATTTCACATTTTTTGATGCTATTGTAAATGTCATTGCTTTAAATATCTCAATTTCTGATTGCTTGTTGCCACTGTATAGAAATGCAATTGATTTCCCCTCCCTCCCTCCCTCCTTTCTTCCCTTTCTCCTTCCTTTCTTCCCTTTTTTTCTCTCTCTCTCTCTCTCCTTCCTTCCCTTTCTTAACTTTCTTCCTTTCTTTTGTTTCTTGACAGGGTCTTACTCTGTCATCCAGGCTGAAGTGCAGTGGCGAATCATAGCTCACTGCAACTTCCCAACTCCTGAGCTCAGGTGATCCCCCCACCTCAGTCTCTTGAGTTGCTGGAACTATAGGCATGCACCACTATGCCTGGTTAATTTTTAATTTTTTTTAAGAGACAGTATCTTGCCCAGGCTAACCTTGAACTTCTGGGCTCAAGTGATCCTCCCACCTTGGTCTCCCAAAGTGCTCGGATTATGCATGAGCCACCATGCCTGACCTTGATTTCTTTGTACTGATCATGCATGTATCCTGCAACCTTGCTAAACTTACTTATTAATTTAGTAGCTTTTTGTTGATTCTGTTAGATTCTTTTATGTATGCGATCATGTCATCTGTGAATAAAGATAATTTTATTTTTTCCTTTCTAATTTAGATGGAAATACCATTTATTTTCTTTGCTTTATTGTGGTGGCTAGAAACTCTAGTGCAGTGTTGAATAGTAGTGGTGAAAGCTGGCATTCTTGCCTTGTTCCTGATCTTAGCAGGGAAAACGTTCAGTTTTTCACCATTATGTATGATGTTAACTCTAGGTTTTTTGTAGATGCCTTTTATCAAGTTGGGGGAGTTCCTTTCTTTTCCTAGCTTGCTGAGAGTTTTATAAGGATCGAATGATATATTTTGTCAAATGCTTTTTCTGCATGTATTGGGATGCTGAGGTTTTTCTTTTTTAGTCTGCTAATTTGATAAGTTATATTGGTATTTCCCCCCCATTGGTTGATTTTTAAATGTTAAACCAATCTTGCATTTCTGACATAAATCCCACTTGATCATAATATATTATCTTTTTAATGTATTATTTGATCTGATTTGCTAAAACTGTTGGATATATGTTCATGAGGGATATTGGTCTGTAATTTTCTTTTCTTGTTATGCCTTTAGTCTGGTTTTGAAGTCATGATAATGCTGACTTTATAAAACATGTTGGGAAGGATTTTCTCTTCAATATTTGGGAAGAGTGTGTAGAATTGTGTAGAATTTGTTTTATTTTGTAGTGTGCTAGAATTCATTAGTGAAGCCATCTGAACCTGCAGTTTTCTTTGTGGAAAGGTTTTAAACTACAGATTTAGTCTCTAATAGATACTGGGATATTTTAACTTTCTGTTTTTCTCAAGGGTGTTTTGGGAGTTTATCTCTTTCAGGGAGTTTATTGATGTTATCTGAATTGTAGAATTCATTGGCATAAAATTGTTTATCTCTCGTTCCTTCTTTTTTTTTTTGATCAATCTAAACAGATTTATCAGTTTTCTCAAGATCTGGCTTTTGGTTTAATTGATTTCTCTTACTATTTTATTTACTTACATGTATATGTCTATGCGATTTCTATTTTATTGATTTCTGTTCTCATCTTTATTAATCCCTTTCATCTGCTTACTCTAGATTTTATTTACTCTTTTTAGTTTCTTAAGGTTACTATAGAAGCTGAGGTTACTGAATTGAGTTTCTTTTCTAATATAGGTGATTAGTGGTATACATTTCTCTCTTTATGTACTACAGCTTTAACTGGATCCCACATGTTTTGACATGTGTGTTTTCATTTTCATTTACTTCCGTTTGATTTCTTTGAATCATGAATTATTCATAAGTGTGTTATTTAGTTTTCATGTATTAGAGGATTTTCATATCTCTTTTATTATTAATTTCTAGTTTATTTCCATTGTGGTCAGTCACATATATGGCTTTAGTCTTTTTAAATTTATTGATTCTTGGTTTGGCCCTAAATATGATCTATCTTGGTAAATGTTTTATGTGTACTTGAAAAGAACGTGTATTCTGCCATCGTGTGAGTGTCCTACAAATGTCACTTAGGTCAGGTTGGTTGATGGTATTGTTCAAGATTTTTTTTTTTTCATCCTCACTGATTTTCTATCTACTTACTCTTTTTTTTTTTTTAATTTCAGCATATTATGGGGGTACAGATGTTTAGGTTATGTATGTTGCCCTTGCCTCCCCACTCCCCCCCAAGTCCGAGTTTCAAATGTGCCCATCCCTTGGATGGTGCGCATTGCACTCTTTGTGTATGCAAATACCCGTCCCCTTCTCCCCCCCCCGCCCGACATCCAATAGATGTTATTATTATATGTACACTTATGTGTTGATCAGTTAATACCAATTTGATGGTGAGTACATGTGGTGCTTGTTTTATCTACTTATTCTTATCAGTTGTTAAAAAGGGGTTGGAATCTCAGGAGGGACTGGAAGTGCTCCTCTGTTATGTTTTCATTTTTTAAGTCATTGATTTTCTAACTTTGATTTTGTGCTAACTTAATCACTTTAGGCAGGTTTTTAATGATGAAACTCATTTTAAGTTTAAGTCATCTAGCTCTTAAGGACAAGGGAGATATGTTAGAAATTAGAATTTAATAATGGGATTTCTGGTTCCTATAAAAGTTTTGAATTATTTATGTCAATGTTTGCATTAAAAGATCTTCTTTGTCTTTTGGCTTTGCCTATTAGAAGGTGAGTATATGTGTCTTTAATAGACTTTTAGATTTATCCTTTAAAAAATAATGGGGAAACCAAAACCTATTCTAAAAGCAGAATACAAAGGGATACAAAAGTGTTTTTCTGCTTTTGGTAGGTGTTGGGAATTTTTTCTGTTTTGATGGTGTAAAATTTATATTGTAAATGAAAAACATCAAAATGCTATTAATTGATTTTTCCACCCTAATTGCTTATAATTTTTGCCTAGATTTTAAAAAATGGCAGAAATTTTTATAGTTTCATCGCACTTACTTTTTTCCGTTTGACCTCTCTTAATTTTCAGCCCCACTGGAAATGAATTACCTGAGCTGAGCACTACTGAGATTGCTTCTGGCAAACAGAATTAATGGACTGTTTTTCAAAGGGGGTACAAAGCTTAAAACAGAAAAGTCCCTGAGATGTACGGGCATCTTGGGAATAGAATAAAGTGCATTTATAGGGAGATAGTAAAATGAAAATGTAGGAATTTAGGCTTGTTTGTTAATGTATTTAATTTTTTATTTTGAAATAATTACAGACTCACAGGAAGTTGCAAAAATAGTAGTACACAGAGTCCTGTGAATGCTTCACCCAGCTTTCCCCAATGGTGCCATCTTACATATAGCTGTAGTACAATAACAAAACCAGGAAAATGACATTAGTACAGTATCACTAACTAGATTATAGACCTTATTTGGTTTTTCACGTGTACTTGTATATGTTTGTATTTGTGTATATACAGTTCTATACATTGTGATCCTATGAATAGATTTGTGTAATGATGACCACCACAACGAACATACAGAACTGTTGCGTCATTCAAAGGAACTCCCTTATGCCATCCCTTTATATTTGCACTCCCACCCTGTCTTTATCCCCTTGCAACCCACTAATCTGTTCTCC